AATTTACTCGTCAAACACGTAAACATCTATCTATCTATCTATCTATCTATCTATCTATCTATCTATCTATCTATCTATCTATCTATCTATGTTCCTTGTCTATCTTCTATGTCTATTTAAATCTATCTATGTAGGTCTGTTCAAATCTATCTATCTATCTATCTATCTATCTATCTATCTATCTATCTATCTATCTATCTATGTTCCTTGTCTATCTTCTATGTCTATTTAAATCTATCTATGTAGGTCTGTTCAAATTCATTCATCTATCTATCTATCTATCTATCTATCTATCTATCTATCTATCTATGTTCCTTGTCTATCTTCTATGTCTATTTAAATCTATCTATGTAGGTCTGTTCAAATCTATCTATCTATCTATCTATCTATCTATCTATCTATCTATCTATCTATCTATCTATCTATCTATCTCTGTTCCTTGTCTATATTATATATCTATTTAAATCTATCTATGTAGGTCTGTTCTATCTATCTATCTATCTATCTATCTATCTATCTATCTATCTATCTATCTATCTATAACCATTCATATCTATCTATTACAAATAATATAACACGAGCGAAAGAACGGAAGTGTCTATGTATGCGTGAATATGTGAGAGAGAGAGAAAGAGAGAAGAATAGAAAGAGACTGAAAAAGACGTAGTCACATACATGAAAGTGAGAGAGCGTGAAAGAGCAGATTTTGTGATACATTTTTCTGACACACTGGATGATGATTCGCTCGCCTTAACTCAGTCCGATGCTCTGGCCGTGTTAAAAATAGCATCCATTACATATGCGCCGTCATTTCGACATGACACTGCATATTTTGTGCGTTCTGCAACCTCGTTCTGACCTTTCGCTTTCTGTTACGCAATAGCCGAAGGTCGGATTTGGCCGTTTCTTTTCTCTCGAAATGACCCTCCCACGTTTTTCATTTTATCTTTTATCCGCGTTTTGATATTCATTCTTTATCATTATTATTATTATTATCATTATTGTAGTTGTTGTTGTTGTTGTTCGTGTAAATTCCACGTGGTGTTTTTTCTGCATTCTCTCCTTTTTGTATTTTACGTTCATCTCTGATGTCCGATTCCGCTTTCAAAAGACGAAGTTGAAAGATCCCGATTTCTATTCTTGTTAAAATCGCTTCAAGTCCGTTCTTTTATTTTGATAGATTTTTTTTGGTTTATTTTTTTATTTTATTCCATTTTTTTATTCTATTCCCTACTATTAATATATGACTATTTCAGTTTATTTTTTCTCACACCAGGCATTAATAAAAATAGCTCATTAGTGACAGATGCCTTGGAAGTATTTGTGGAAATGACAAAGGGCGATTACAGGGGCGAGAAATCGAAAGAGATTTCCACAGGCGAGTAGTGCGAATAGAAACTACTGGAATAGAAATGTTGGTTGCATCTAACTAGTTCAATCAGTAAAACGATGAGACCTATTCACCAATTGTCGAAAATTCTTTTCAACTCAAAGGGTAAATCAGAAGCAGGTCTTGTACAGTAAGTGTTGCGAAACACTGCCTAGGCTCGCGATCCAAACTTCAGTCAGGAACCAATTAATAATTACAGAAGAAGAAAGCCTAATATCTATCTATCTATCTATCTATCTATCTATCTATCTATCTATCTATCTGTTGTGACCTTGTTAGGGACAGAAATAAAGACACAAAGAGAGGAATTGAATTAAATATATTAACAGAGACAGTAATACAAACATATACAAACGTGAGTGTTACAACAAGAATGTTCGGTCCGACTCTCAGAGCTGACTGCTGGAAACTCCCCCATTCAAAGAGCAATACCTGCTCCTATTTATATCTGTGAGAGTCCATGCGTGCGTGGCTAAATTACTATAAAACTATCTATCTATCTATCTATCTATCTATCTATCTATCTATCTATCTGTTGTGGTCTTGTTAGGGTCAGAAAATAAAGACACAAAGAAATCAATTGATTTAAACAAATATATTAACAGAAACAGTAATACAAACATATAAAAACGAGAGTGTTACAGCAAGAATGTTCGGTCCGACTGTCAGAGTTGACTGCTGGAAACTTCCCTCTCCAAAAGGCAGTACCTGCTCCTATTTATAGCTGGACGAGTCCATGCGTGCGTGAGTAAATTACCATAACTATCTATCTATCTATCTATCTATCTATCTATCTATCTATTGTGGCCGTGTTATGGTGAGAAATAAAGACATACAGAGAAGAATTGAGTTAAACGATTATATTGACAGAAACAGTAATACAAACATATACAAACGGCCCAAATTTCAGTCAGGGACCAATTAATAATGAGAGAAGAAGAGAAACTGTAGTACGACTCTGTTCTCATAAAGTCCCTCTCACAAAAAACATAAAAAGAAAAAAATGATGAGAAGGGAAGGAAGTCAGACATTAAGTGACAAGGTGGTTGACCTGCGCATCCCACCCTTTCCGGTAAAAAGATTACAAAAAAACTAGTGTTCGTTGCGGCTTCGCTTTGAAAAAACAAGCCATGGCAAAATCTCCGCCTCCTACGTCTGACTGCAACCCGGCACACGCAGATAATTTCATTTATTTTCCCATACAATCTAGTAGCATGCTTAAATTCATGTAGTCGAGCCCCCCCTCAAAAAAACCTCATCGGAACAGTTACCATGAAAATATTTGTAGAAGATACAAAGAGCAGCCATATCACCTTGGTGAGACGGAAGCTGATGTTTTCTTAATCGTCTCATCCCAAACAAGGCAATAATGTCACTAAGACGCATGGGTTAAGCGGAGTAAAAGAGAATGAAGACATTAGTGAGGAGAAGTGGCGAGAAGGACAACAAAGGAACAGGATTCTGTAAGACAGATGGTCGCCATTGACATTAATTTTTTTGAGGACTGTAGTTGTTAGGGAAGCAAGAAATTGGAAAGGAGCTTTACAGGTGAGAAGGGCCAGGAAAGAAACTACTAGAAACTGTTGCATCGAGCGAGTTCAACAGTAAAATGGTGAGACCTACTTACCAATCCAGCATCACGCTTAAATTCATGTCGCCAAGACACCAAGAAAAGAAAAACAGCTCGTCAGAACAATTGTCATGAAAATAGTTGTAGAAAGGTGTTGTGGCTTTGTTAGGGCCAGAAATAAAGACACAAAGAGAGGAAATGAATTAAATATATTAACAGTAATACAAACATATACAAACGAGAGTGTTACACCAAGAATGGTCGGTCCGACTCTCAGAACTGACTGCTGAAAAATCCCACTTCCAAAGGGCAGTACCTGCTCCTATTTATAGCTGGGAGTGTCCATGCGTGAGTGGGTAAATTACCATAACACTATCTATCTATCTATCTATCTATCTATCTATCTATCTATCTATCTGTTGTGGCCTTGTTAGGGATAGAAATAAAGACATAAATAGAGGAATTGAATTAAATATATTAATAGTAATACAAACATATACAAACGAGAGTGTTACAGCAAGAATGTTCGGTCCGACTGTCAGAGTTGACTGCTGGAAACTTCACCTCCAAAAGGCAGTACCTGCTCCTATTCATAACTGGGAGAATCCATGCGTGCGTGGGCAAATTACCATAACAAAAAGACAGAGGGAAGCTACGCCACGGCGGTGAGAAAGTTAGTGCTGTCAAGACATCAGGTCAGGATCGATAACATAACATTCAGTTTTTTTTTCTAAATTATTCCGTCCTAGACATTAATGCCAAAAGCTCATCAATGACAGATGCCTTGAACGTCTTTGTAGATAAGACAAAAGGCAATTACAGTGGCAAGAAATCGAAAGGGATTTCCACAGGCGAGAAGTGCGAGTAGAGAAACCATTAGAATAGAATTGACGGTTGCATCTAACTAGTTCAACAGTAAAATGATGAGACCTAACTGCCAATCTAGTATCACGCTTAAGATCATGTAGCCGAGACACCAAGAAAATAAAACTCATCAGAACAATCGGGATGAAAAATAGTTGTAAAGAAGGAAGCTACGCCATGGAGGTGAGAAATTAACTGAAGTCGAGATGCCGAATCTGGATCGATTACATTATGAACCCTTCTTTGAATTTTGTCAAGAATCTCGTGATATATAGCAGAAGCACCAGACCAGATATGACATCAGTATTCAATATAGAATGGAAGATTTATAAATACGCATGACAGATCTGACGAGAATATTCCTTGTCTTGTTTAAAATAGTACACGGCTCTATCGCCATTTCCAGGGAAAATTTTCAAACGAACTACATTCCTTAGTTCTACCAGACAAAAACGGTTCAAAGTAAATTCTAGTTATTGAGATTTATGTGTATTGCATAATAACTTCAGACGGACTGTATACTAGATGTTTGGTAAATAGCTTTATCAATCATCCGGCCCTGATGAGCCTTTCGACGCGTAAAGGTTGAGTGGGTCGACCAGATAAGTCAACTTTACTTGATTTATTGAATATTGTAGCTCAGGTTACCCATTGAGAGTTTTTTTGGCAGACTTTCTACTCGCCTGAAACGTACGTTAAATACTCGTATATTTAAATACTGTTTAAGTTGAATTTTTAAAGCATCTTCAGACCTAAAAATTGCGTTCAAGAATGAAATCGATTCTCGCCATTCGGTGTTGATCCCAGTGTCCACTCTTTATACTTACATACGCTCTATTCCTGGCATTGGTCACTTTTACTGATAAATATAGCACATCTTGAAACTATATGTTTATCGCATTCTTATATATATATATATATATATATATATAAGAGCTGAGACATTATTCTATTTATTGAACAATTTAGTTCATGCCACATTGACTGATAAACTCCTACAACAAAACAATTCTCAAATTACAATATTAGTAAAAAAACGCACTCTCTTAAATTTCCCCCAAAATTCAACCTTAGCGTTCCGACTGCACGCTCCAAAAGTTTGTATCCGTTATCAATAACACATCTAGAATATATATATATATATATATATATATATATATATATATATATATTTTCGATTCGCATTTAATTTTTCGTCTCGGATCCTACCTGAATTTTACCAAAAACACTACTATTTCCATGCGTGAGGATGACTGAATGTACAGTTGAAAGTACTTGCGTAATAAAGAAAAACCTCATACAGTTTATAATTTTTAAAAACAAGGAACATAATATTCATCGATTGATTTGTATGTTAATGCACCTTTAAAATTTTGTTAGCAAAAGGATTTGGTCATTTTATATCATTAACTTTACTAATTTACTTTTTGTATGAATTATTCACTGTAACACACACACACACACACACACACACACACACACACACACACACATATATATATATATATAGTGTATTGAGTACTTTGCTTAGTTATTTTTGCTTTACTCGTGTTGGAGGTTTTTTCTTTGTACTCTGAGCTTGGATTCTGGACGATTGTTTCACTTCAATTACATGTTCTTAGTTCTTTCTAGTACAGTCCTACCTGTCTATTGTTTGACATTGTCCAATCAGTTTTTGCATTGGCATCATTTCCTATGTCCACCTTCAATGGTGCCTTGCATGATGGTCTTTCACAGGCTTTCATGCCTTGTATATATATATATATATATATATATATATATATATATATATATTAAAAAGAAGAGAAGAGAGGTGCATTCAAGAAAGAAATTCGGATTACCAACACACAAATAGAGAATGTCTCATATCGAGAATATTTAACATTGAACATAAGGAAAAAAATTAATTATTTTTAATAATATGTGGAAATCTCCGCTTTTACCTGAAGACGGTCACGAGACCAGAAACACGTGTCGTAAAATTATGTAAAACAAAGACTTTAGTGGTGCGCTATTGTCGAAGCTATAAGCTCCTCTATCGTGGTGCTATTGCTCACTATGGTATTGAACCCTTTTTTGCCACACCGGTGGATTTTTTTGATTTTCAGCTATTTGATCTTGATTGTATAGGTTACCCTCCTACCTCTGGCGAGTTTGGTTGGCTTGCCATCTTGGATTCGCCTGCTAGTATAAGAGTTCCTATTTTCCCAAACTACAGCTACCGGCCGCCTGATGATTTTGCGAAAGCGCAAGAAACTGGCAATCGTGGTTGGTCTCTAGACAACATGATAATAATGATAGAAGAAAAAGAATTGGAAGTGAAAAATCATTTGGTACCCCACCATTTAACCAAATGGTTAGTACTAAGTAAGAGCAGAAATTCCTCCATTTAACTAATAAGCATTTGCCTATAAATAATCCACTCAGTAAAATATTTAACAGAAATACACTAAAACTAAGCTATAGCTGCACTGATAATCTAGAAAATATTATAAAAAACATAATAATAAAATTTTAAACAAATATAAAAACCAGAGTAAGAATGTTAATTCCAGAGTAAATGATGTTGTTAATATCAACAAATGTAATTACAGAAATTCTAACGATTGCCAGCTGGAAAATAAATGACTGGCGAACTCTCTTGTGTACCTAAGCGCTATTTCTACAAAAGAAAATCTGACTGTTGAAAAATTTTATATAGGTAGTACCAAGAATTCTTTTAAAACTAGATGGTACCAACAACCTATCTTTCATCAATAGCACTTATAAAAATAGAACATCTCTTTTCAAATATTTTTGGAATTTAAAAGAGGTAAATAAAACTCGTACGGTTAAATGGAAAGCTTCAAAAAACCTAGAACTTGTAAATCCTAAAATGAACCTTGCTTTTTATGTTTACATGAGAAATTAGAGATTATTAGGTTTGCTGATAAAAATTCTCCATTAAACCAAAGAAGTTAATTAACTGTAAATTGTAGGCATAGTTTACTTTTCACCTTACAATATGTTTAAATTTTAATTTGGTTTTATCTTTTCATGTGATCATAATTAGTAAGTAATTTGCGGTGCACCTTCTATGAATGTTTGAATTTAATAAAGCTATGTATGGCTGTTTAGCTGGCATTATTAACGTCTTATATGAATGTTAGCATTTTAACACTTTAGTTGCATTTCTCCGGTTTTATTAAAGAAGACTTTCAATATGTTAGGATCAGATATATGTGTCATTATTTCCCCCTCCTTCCCCTTAACTTCTTTTAAAAGTTGAAAAAGTTTTATTTGTTTCATTATTAGGATACAAGTTTTCTACTTACAGTTTGTATCAATTTCTTGTCTGCCACTTAAGACGTTGTCTAGGTCTATGTTTCTGACCATTTTGTATCATGATCAATTTTTCTTTTCTAAGGTCAATTTTGAATGTGCGTAGGTCTGACACCTAATTGGTTAATCAGGGTAAACCCACAAGCCTCATTTTAATTTTGATTAGTTGTTGTTCTGTTATCTTTCTGAAAAAAGAGGGGGTATTCTGCTTTTGAAATTTAAAAATATTTTACTCACCAGTCATTTATTATCGCCTGAGGAAGTACAATAAATAATATTACGCTCTACTCTGAGCATCCTTTTTTAAAATTAAAATGCTACAGACAGTGGAAGTATACTCCATTTGTTCTTATCCCATACCTGGTTCTCTCTCTCCCTCCCTCTCTCTCTCTATCTCTTTCCCTCTCTCTCTCTCTCTATATATATATATATATATATATATATATTATTAATGCACGTTTCGTTAAATAATATAGACAAATTTTGTCTATTTATTTTAAGTAAGTTCCTTTCATATCGTCTGATAAGCTTAATCACATTATCGTTGAAAGACGAAAGGAAAACACCACGAGCTGCGACGCGATTTTCGCCTCCGCGTCTCGTATATACGAGTTTGTCGTCGCTTTGAAATTTTTCATGCAGCAAGGGCGGACTATCATTGTTGTTTCGCCCGTGTGCTGTTTGATATATTGAAATTGTCATCTTTGATAATGGCTTATGTAAGCCGAAAGCTTAGATTGGATTTAAACATGTATCAATATGGTGTTTTCCTTTTGTCTTTCAACGATAATGTGATTAAACTTTATCAGACAATATGAAAGGAACTTATTTAAAATAAATAGACAAAACTTGTCTATATTATTTAATGAAACATGCATTAATGAAAAATTGCTGCCTGAATATACACAATATATATATATATATATATATATATATATATATATATATATATATATATGTGTGTGTGTGTGTGTGTGTGTGTGTGTGTGTGTGTGTGTATTCTCAGAATGCATCTATAGAAAAGACAAAATGAATAGAATAATCAAGAGGAAAAAACAATACTTACTCTTTGAATAATTTGTACATATTATGTCTATTTATTTTTATTTTAATCTTCTCGAATTTTCGGATCAACTTATTTTCAATCTCACCCAAGATCATCTTTAGGGATGAATTACAAGTACTTGGGAAAATAAAAGAAATGACAAAAACTACGACGACTTCGTTAATGGATTT